TGTTTTAAGTAATGTTATTTAATGTTAATAAATGGAACAATAGAAGTAGCTAACGATAATGGTAAAGAAAAAGAGAGATCGCATATGTAAGTGCGCATGCGCACACGTGAAAACATATCGTCATTACTTTACATAAGAATATGAAAGCAACACTTATTTACTGTTCATATATATTTTAATTAATGTTTCTGAATTTGTTTTTATTGAATCAATGTACGTGTGTGCAAAATTAACAATACAATTTATTAATAATATGTGGAATATTAGAGGAGACGAGACGGCTGCCGGCATTGTTTATGTTAAAGCTTACGAAACCAGTGACTGATTGGTTCTACATATAAAACTGAAGAAAATAAGACCCTGAGTTTAGCTGTAGTAAAATTAATGTAAAAAATGAATATGGTTGCTTGAAGTACCTGTAATGTTATATAATGTTAATAAATGGAACAATATAAGTAGCTAACCATTAATGGTAAAAAAAAAGTGAGACTGCTCGTATGTAAGTGCGCACATGTGAAAATATATCGTCATTACTCTACACAATAATATGAAAGCAACACTTATTTACTGCTCATATATATATTGAAGGGTTAAATGTTGTACTCTGTATAGACAAGCAGAGAGAGAGAGCAGCCGAACTGCCGGATGTAAACAAACCTTAATTTCCCGCGGCTTTTTTTTTTTTTTAAGGGGATTAGCCCACCCGGGCATAGGTCACTGACCCACATTGGGGCCTGAGGGGCAAAAATTTAATACTCCTGTAATAATAATAATAATTCAGATAAGTAAAAAAACTGCCTATCTACCTATTGGACAAACTAAAATCGTTCCGGACCACGGGAGTTTCCGGACCACAGAATGCCGGACTAGAGAGGTACAACCTGTAGTAGTTTTGCTGAAACGTGATGTATTTCAATGTAAAATAGGATAAAATACATGACGAAAACAAAAGACTTTACCTAAGCTTCCGATGTTCTTGAGATGTTATTCATTTTTTTAATAGTTTTCGGTTAAAATACTGTTATATTACAATGAAATTCTATTCATACTGTGCTTGATATAATACATTCACGGAAATGTAATATTTTTGATGAAATTACATACGTATTACAGTGGAAAGTGGGATAAAATCGTGACGAAAACAATGACTTTAAAATATAATGCAATATTAACCCCTAAATCGGTTAATTCGGACAATCGGCTAAAACGGACACCCTTCCCCCCCCATTAGTCCGAATTAACGAGGGTCGACTGTATCTTGTAATATTATGCATTAACAAATGATGAAGCCAAGAGAGTTATATTTCAAGGATTAATTAACCAACAATTTATGAACTCCATAAGAGCAGTAAAATACACCAGGTTCCCTCCTAAGGGGTGCATTACCTTGGAACAAACTTCAGATTTAAATTAGGCCACTGTGGAGAGGTGGATGGGGGAGTAGACTGCACTGAGGAACAAGGAGAAATCACCATGAAGACAACTTAAAACTGATTACTGAATGACCCATTTTCTATTTGCAAGGGATCAAATTCTCTGAGCAATTCCAATGTGCTCCATATACTCCACCGATAGTTACCATTAACATAAGCAAAAGTGACACAGTATACTACAAGTGAACACAACACCCACAAAAGGCAGGATATACAGCATAACATGACACAAAACTTTCCTGAAATACCTTGACCAAAACAAACCAAGATGAAGTTTTAGTAGCCTTGGGCCACATGCTTCACCTAGTACACAAAGAATTGATCTAGTCACTGGATTTTGTTCTCAGTGGAGGGAGATGTTAAGTTATGGAATCGACTCCTCAATTAATTGAAAAACTTGGATTGACAGCACAACATAAAGATCTAGATAAGTACCTTGGTCTTAACATCACAAAGAGAACATCTAACTGTTTGAGACGTCATAGCAAGAGCCAAATGTCTCAACTGTGCAAAGGGTGATGGGGATTTGAGGTGGCTGGTCAAGTATAAACACCTTGTAACTGATCTCAACAACTGAATGAAGTAATTGAGAGATGGGGAAATAATTATCACAAAATTAAGACTTTTAAGAGCACAAAGCAGTTGTTCTGGATAAAGTAAGTAAAGGGGGCTAGGGAGAACATTTTGAACAGCTACTACAGTAACTGTAATATAAAAAATTATGAAATTATCCTACTTAAGACAGAGTGGATTTAATTGTGTCAAAGTAAAAAACTAAACTCAAAATAATTACAATAATAATAAGGGAACATGATTTATGACTGGCTGTAAGTAGGCTCAAAAATAGTAAAGCAATAGGACTGGATGGAATCACCTTTGAATTGATGATGATGGGAAGTGGAACAGTGATTAAATAGATGGCAAAGAATGTACAGAAAAAAAAAATTCTGCACCCCTGGGTCTGATGGTATTCGCAACGATCAATCACTGAGGCAGTACTATCAACATACGAGGTCTGTCCAAAAAGAAACCAAATTAAATTTTTTTTTTATTGCTTTACTTACAACTTAATCAGACTTGTCTCCTTCAAAGTACTCCCCTCCACTGTTGATACACCGCTCCCAACGTTTTTTCCAGTTCTGGAACGCTTTTTGAGGGATGGTGCGCAGGTCTCGTAGCGAATTTTCTTCTATCCCTTCTATTGTCTGAAATCGGCGACCTTTCAGGGTGGATTTCAACTTTGGGAACAAAAAAAAAAGTCCGCAGGGGCTAAATCCGGAGAGTAGGGAGGCTGGGGGACGATAGTCGTCTCATGCTTCACCAAAGAGTCACAGATAAGGAGCGAAGCGTGAGCAAGTACACTGTCATGGTGCAGCACCCAGGTCTTGTTTGTCCACGCCTCAGGCCTCTTCCTTCGCACTGCCTCCCTCAAGCGCTTCAGGACCTCCAAGTAAAACTCTTTATTGACTGTCTGACCACGTGGAACAAACTCATGATGCACGACACCCTTCCAATCATTAAAGACGATCAACATCACCTCCACATTTGAGCGACTCTGACGTCCAGAGTTGGGATCGTCTTCGGTGGATGTTCTTCCCTTTTGAAACGCTGGTACCACACGTGTCTTTGCGTACGGCTCAAACAATCCTCCCCATAAGCCTGTTGCAACACTTGAAAAGTTTCCTTAAAAGTTTTTCCCAATTTGAAAAAGAATTTCATGCAAACACGTTGCTCTTCAAAATCCTTCATTGTTCAACTTGCAACAAATTGCCAAGTGCACTAAACACACGTTCACTCTGGCGCGTATAACTCGATGACTAATTGACGTGGCGTGATGTGGCTAGTGTTAGACTAAAGGACAAGGTCACGGCTATACAACGCTCCCGTCGCGAGCATGCTGCGCCGGCTCGTTGGCGCACTATTTAAAAAGTTTGGTTTCTTTTTGGACAGACCTCGTACACCATAACTCATGAGTGTTGTTGACAATTCTTGGTCTGGTATGTCATATTGTATAACATCATAAAGGTGCCAATTTTTTTGTCAGCTGTCCACAAGGCCAAGAGCATGTATAATTCCTCTGGATCAAGGAAATGGTGATTCTTAAGTGAGAAGAATATGATGATGCTGGTTTATATGAAGTGACAGATATAAACCAGATCTGGGATCTTGTTGCAAATGGAAAGAACCATAACAGAACACAACACACTTCTTACAATAGTATAGGTGTGTGTGTGCGTGCGCAGCCAACGAGTGATAAGTGGGAAAAAATCTTAAAGAATACTGATAAAAAAAAGATATATAGACACAGTTATAAAGATAATGACTAGACATACACAGTTATTTACTAAGTAGAACTATTGTCAGATTCCAGGAACAAAAGACTACAGAGGATACCCTAATCCAATTCTCCCTTAATTGCTGAAAAGCTTTCATAACCTAATACTTAATGAAAAATAGTTCTGGATGAATAAAGAAGAACTTGTGCATCATGACTATAGGTTAATATTTTATTAGTACACAGTGCAGCACAGTAAAAAAAATTTTTTTTTCACCTTCCTCAACTCTTGATACAAGAAACACCTAACAAATGAAGAGAAGTGGGAATAAATCGGTGAACGCTTGTTTAAAAAATAGTACTGAAGTACATTAAAATCTCCGTTAGCCGGAATTCCTCAAACCCGGAACTCCCCAATAGCCGGAATTGAAATTTTCTCGGAAAATCGTTCCCAAAGCCAGAATTTTCTGAGAAAATTTTCCTGATACCCAGAAAATTCTGGGGATGGGGAAGTTTTTTCTGGGTTTGAGAGATGAGAATCAGGCGCATTTTCTGGAAATTCCAAGAAAATTTTTCCGGTACCCGGAAGATTCTAGGAATGGAGGATATTTTCCCTAGGTACGAGAGATGATGTAATGGGTAATTTCTGGAAAGTCTGAGAAAAATTTTCCATTACACGGAAAATTCCGGGGATGAGTGATATTTTTCCCGCTTTGAGAGAGTCGTCTAGTTATCCGGAAATCACTCATTCCCGGAAGTGCTCTACACCAATTGTTCTGGCTAATGGAGATATCACTGTACTGTTAAGTTGTACACATTATAAAAAGAAGAAGAAGAAGAAGAAGAAGAAGAAGAAGAAGAAGAAGAAGAAGAAGAAGAAGAAGAGGAAGGAGGAGGAGGAGGGGGAGGGGGAGGAGGAGGAGAGCTTTAAAAAATAGTAGTCAAAATTAAAAGCCATGCCACATCCATTAGCACCTGCCCATATCATTACCTTGCAGCTGCACCAACACTCAAGGTCTGTACGAGTGTTAAACCGCCAAGATGAGAGATTAAATAAAAACTTTCACTTCATTGATTAGGGGTTTTATAGTCCTCTCTCTTTCATACATTTGTTATACACTACTGTACTAGATAATAATAATAATAATAATAATAATAATAATAATAATAATAATAATAATACAGTTCACTATTTAATATTCACCTGGACAACAGTTCCAGAATATAATCTTATGTAAAACTATCAATTAACTCCATATAAAGTTAAGAAGGAGAAGGGTGAAGCCTCTTACCTTCGAGGCGATCAAACAGATTCCCAGTTTTAACAACAGGTGTAGACCCACCCACCACTCTTATGGGAGAATCTGCACCAACTTTTGGCCTCACACTTTTAAACCCTGTCAGTGGAAAAAAGAAATAATGTATAAGATTACTACTGTACCATCAGCTTTATCCATAAATGCAACTGGATGCATAAGGCCACCTCCGATACTAAACGAACAATTAAGTACAGTACTGTATATCAATCTTCAGTACTTCCAGAATTATCTACTAGAATGTATGTTTATAAAGCAATAGGGAGGGTACCCAGCTGTAAAACTTGCCAAGCCATCAGGTACTGTAATTGCAGCTAATCAATGTAAGTATGGAAAATGGCCAAAAAACAGTGATGTTGATGATGATGATAATATAACATGGAGCGCAACAAAACTTATGGTATGCAAAAAGGAGGTCACTATAATTCCAAGACCCAATCTAAGTTTGAGTGTTGTTATATTAAAAAAGCTCACACTCCTACCATACATCAGATAGGCCCATGCAATATTCTGAGGTATATTCTCTCTCTCTCAAACACAACACAAACACCCCTCCCCACACACACACACACGGCTATATACATCTCTAGATTCTTCTCACATATAGTTTTCCACATTGTCTATTTGGTTTAACTTTGGTCTTCTAATGATGAGTCATTGACTGTTGAGAAGCACTAGAGGGGACATCAGCACACAGATCTGATTACAACTCAGCAAGATATAGAGGATTTTAAACAATATATTTCAATGTTCAACAGCTTTCAATAAACCCCTCCTCTTATCCTATATTACAGAAGAAAATGATCCTGAAACATTCAATGGAGTTTTATTATTGTAAACAAAAATAAAAAAAATCTTTACAATCTGTATTTCAGATTTTTCTTCTTCTCAACCCTCTCACTCCTTCTCTAAAGAATACTGACCCCTGTAGTTTTCTCCTAATGGTCCCCAGTCCTAGTATGTACTTAGTTTAGGGTACGGCAAATAAGACCGGGGCCCATTAGACTTACAACTGACCAAACACGCAATGGTTTTACCTGGACTCTTGGAAGTAGTGGGAGAAACAATGTTGTGTTGAATAGCCTCCATACTTTTGCACGAATTCACATGGTTTAAAAAGTCGTCACCTTCCTTGAACAACTTTTTGCAGAATGTACACTTTTCATGCCCAGCTGAGGACCTAAAATAAACATGAACTGCAGTTAAAATTATATCAAGACTATGCCACTGATTTCATTGTTCTAGATATGATATGTGCATTTTATCAGATTGTAATCAGTCCATGGCTGGGATCTGTCACTGACATCAAGGGAAGTCAATGGCAATGAAATATGAACTCAAACCATAAAAATGCATCTTAAAATACTGTAAAACCAGAAAAGAGTAAAGTTATTACATTCATATTTTAAAGAAATTCTATTGACAAAATATCATATAAAATTATGTTGAGTAAAATCAGTTTTACAAAGTATAGGGTACAGTATTGTAGCTTAGGACTGAAATCATACCATATAAATGGATTTCCCTTACAACTGATAATGGGTAGAGTGGAGTCATGATAATTTTCTGGTCAGGTATCAGAAGACATCATGAATTATTATTAAATTGAGACTCATAGTTTAATTGATTTAAACAGAAATAATTAGTTAAGTTACAGAGGCAAAAAAATACTTATGAAATGTTCCAAAACTGCTTTTAATAAGCACTAAATATCACACATAATACTGTACTGTACATCAAAAGAAAACAGTAACACATATATTGTATAAAAAAGTAGTTCAGTATTACATAAACAGCTTCTCATAATCATCCTCTGGGTGACAGCATTACACCAATACGACGCTGGAGTTAGGTGTGGGATTTTTTCTCAGCAAAATTGATTATATTAAGATAATTTTTATTATCATCCAGGCACCAAATGTACCTAAATAATATGAGAATTATGGTGAAATTATATACCGTTGTTATCAAGAAGTTATGCATCAGGGAATTTCCGTTGAGTCCAGCCAGCCAGCTGCCCGACTTCCCTAACAGTTTCTTATTGCCTTTTCGTCATTTCTAAGGACCGTACAGTAGAATTCCAGTTATCCGGTATCCGGGCAACCGGTAGATTTAACTAACTGACACCAAATTGAAATACGTAATAATAATAAAAACAAAAATTCTTCCAAAATACTGCACAGAATGGGGATGAGCGACCATATTTATTGCTATGATAAACAGTAAAATCGAGACACAACATCATAAAATATAATAGCACATATTTTATGTACAAAAAATAGATCCTTCCACACTCAAAACATCCTCGGAGTGATGAGACACAGTTCAGGCAGTCAACCAACTGACTCACAGGTGTGTGGCTGCTGCACTGGCTGTGTGTATACCGTTACGCCACATCGGGAGGGAGCCCAGTAACCCACCGCCTTAACACATTCACCTCCCACATATGCACTTCATTTTTCTTATTTTATATTTTTATATTATAATTTCTATATTTCTAAGCCACATCATTTATAAAGAGTGGAATAAGTGTTAAAGAAGTAAATTTTTCTGAGACAAAAATTTGCAAAGTCAGCCTGTAGTACTGTGCATTGTTATGTTTTATTGGGGATCCTAAGAGTGAATACTGTATCAGCTAACCGGAAAAACTCTATCCGGTACCTTTCAATCCTCCTAGGTGCTGGATAAGTGTGATTCTACGGTAACATAAAGAGCATTGGAATGATATTTATATTAAATTTTCTTTCACATTAGATAACTGAAATGTTATTTACACAACTTTTTGAATCCTATGTAAATAAACATTGCAGCAGCCGGCACTCAGTAGCAAATTATGATTTTTTGACAGAAAAAAAAATAGTAGTAATAGAGGTACCTGCGAATTTAAGTACACAGGGAATTTCTATTTCCCGAATTATCGCAAATCCACTGTATGTACTGTATTATGTCCTGAGAATTATAAAGAAATAAACAATCAATTAAAAACTTTGGAATATAAACATAATTGTGTTTTTCCTTCATTAAAAAATAAATAAATATACGGTATATATACACACATTCTAGACTCACCTTGCTTCACCTGATGTAGTCATGTCTGATGTTTTTGTCTCTTCTGACTCTTGTTCAATATTGATGTCTGGTGCTGGCTGTTTATTCTGAAGACGCTTTCGCTTCCCTTTCTTGTTGACTTCTTTTGGTTGTGGAGTCTCTGGGTTGTCTACTAAGTCTGAGCAATCTGAAGCATGAACCTGAGGACACAACAAAGACCACTGGTATAGTGCACACACACACACATATACTGTATACAGTCGACCTTCGTTAATTCGGACCCCTTTAATCCAGATTTCTGATAAATCGGACGAAATCTGAACTGTCCGTATCAAATTTCTGGTTCTGGGATTATCCCAGTTGCAATTGGGGTTGCAATTTCAAATTCTGTGTCACTTCTAAGGAATAACAGTCTCTGGTGCACACTAAGATTAAGAGAAAACGGACGACTCAGGCGTCCTGAAGTGAGAGAAAACGGACTCCTATGACGGAACACTCAAATAAAGAGACATGACTACATGTTTTGTGGACTACCCACTGTACAGTATTGATCGTATAATTTTCATCACTTTGTAATAAACCTAGTCATGCCTATGTGTGTTTCTGATAATTACCATAACATTATATATTTAGCAGTTGTACAAACACAAGGCCTCACACATGCCATTCAGACTGACAGACTTGACAAGTTTTTCCAACCATAAAGACAGTTGAAGCTTTAAACATCACTCACAATGGATCTTGAATATTCCAACTGTAATCAGACATACCTAAGTTGCCTGAACAATTGCAACCCCAGTTGCAATATCAAATTCTGTCACTACTAAGGAATAACAGTCACTGGTGCACTCTAAGATTAAGCGAAAACGGACGACTTGAGCGTCCTGAAGTGAGAAAAAACGGACTCCTATGACGGGGCACTCAAATAAACATACACATAGCTGTATAATGCAATATTAACCCCTAAATCGGTTAATTCGGACAATCGGCTAAAACGGACACCCTTCCCCCCCCTATTAGTCCGTTTTAACGAGGGTCGACTGTACAGTAATACCCCGCTTTACGCGGTTCTCGTTTACGCGTTTCTACATTTACGCGGTACCCCGCCAGAACCGGAATTCCCACTTTACGCGGTGCATCTACTCATATACGCGGGTGAAGTATAAATTTTTTTTTATTTAGCTCATAAAATTCATACAAATTACCCGGCCAGAATATAATTTACATTGCTGGAATTCTTACAATATGATGATCATTTTGAATATAAACATCATGGATTTTGCATTAGACATACAAATTTTAGAACTAATGTAAGAATTTTGTTTACACAGAGCAAATATGTTATCTTTTGTGCAAAATATATGACGTGTATATTCAAAATAACCTGGTCTTGCAAGGAATCCAGCAATGTCAATTATATCATCCTGACTTTAGTCTGAGGTATTATTTATTAATATACCTTAAAATCTAGTGTTTTCACCCAAACATTTCTCTGGTAGGGAGGGAAGGTGGGCGGTAGGGAGGGAGGGAGGGAGGGAGGGACCCAGCGAGCGTGGGAAGAGGGGGTGAGCCGGAGGTGGGGTATTTTGATTGACAGATAGTGTCTGGGTGAAGTATTTTTTTTTATTTACTGAAAATATTTGTTTTAGCTCATAAAATTCATACAAATTACCCGGCCAGAATATAATTTACATTGCTGGAATTCTTACAATATGATGATCATTTTGAATATAAACATCATGAATTTTGCATTAGACATACATATTTTAGATCTAATGTAATAATTTGGTTTACACAAAGCAAATATTTCATCGTTTGTGCAAAATATATGAAGTTTACATTCAAAATATTCCCTGACCTGCAAGGAATCCAGAAATGTCAATTATATTATACTAACTTTAGTCCGAGTTATTATTTATTACTAAACGTTAAAATGTTGTGTTTTCACCCAAATAGTGAGCTTGGAAGAGGGAGTTAGTCCATTATTTGAATGGACATTAACCTGGCGACTGTATTTCTCTTAAATATTAATTGTGTGTGCATACCATCATAAAATTAAGAAGTTATTTTTACTACAACATAGGTATTGTCGGAAAAAGTGGAGTTTGGGGGTCGGGCCAGTCTCTATTGGAATTAATCCCATATGTTCTGTTGTTCACTTTACGCGGTTTTCACTTTCCGCGGTACCCCGTGGGTTCAATTGACACGTAAATCAGGGTACTACTGTATGTATGTATGTATGTATGTATGTATATATATGTATGTATATATATATATATATATATATATATATATATATATATATATATATATATATATATATATATATATATATATATATATATATATATATATATATATATATATATATATATATATATATATATATATATATATATATATATATATATATATATATATATATATATATATATATATATATATATATATATATATATATATATATATATATATATATATATAAAACTGTGTATGGGTGAGCTCAACATAGCTAGACAGTGGTTGCATAATGTATTTCCCACTTCCATGAGTTGTGTGCCATGTGAGAGGATGTGTGAACCTATGGGTGAATTATGGACATTCACATATCTAATAATAACCATTTTCTCTTTTTGTACTTTACATTGAAAAAGGAAATAAAATTCAAGGTGCGGAGCTATAATCCTTGAGATTGTGGCCAGAATCTCCAAAGGAAAGTACGTGTAATTTTGGGTGACTGGTCGCAATGGCCTACCACCAAAGGTGTAAGACCACAGTTTTAAACAGAGCAGAAATTTGGTATGGTTAATTTTTACATGTGCACTTAATTTTGGCCAATAACAGATATAGGCAATACTGTATACAAAATGTTGAGTGCTGACTGGGCACAACTTTATAATAATACTTGCAGTCCCTGATGCCAATGGTGTAATAGGGAGGAAATGGTGAGTGATACATAAAATCAATTAACAGATATAACCCTGGATGACACAATGGAAGCTTATTCAAGACCAAAACGCCCATAGTAAACTGCCCTGGATTACAAGAGCTGCCTAATGTGAGGATGATCACCAGAAAAAATTCAAATTACTATACCCATGAATGATTCTTATTACAGTTGGGTCTTCATTTACGCGGTCAATTGAACCCGCGGAGTACCGCGTAAAACAAGAAAAAAGTAAATGAAATAACAGAACATATGGGATTAATTGAAATAGAAACTGGGATAACCCCCCAAACTCCACTTTTTCCAACACAATACGTACCTTGTAGTCAAAATAACATCTTAATTTTATGATGGTATGCACACACAATTAATAACTGAGAGAAATATCAATAATATTAGGTTTTTTATCACTTACATTAGTAGAAAAGATGGCTGGGCACACGGGGATGGGGGGTTGGTTCCAAGGCAGAGGGCAGATTATTGGCCCTCACCTGTATTACTTGTATCAATTGTATCACTATCCACCACAGAGGCTTGCAGGACCTCTTTGTCAAACCCCTCAAAGTCCATATCCTCACTTTCACTATCACTGACTTGGGGCCAGCTGTGGTGGGTGGCGGGTGAAGAACTCGGTAATGTTTTGATGACTGGACGACCTTGTGTGCACCCTGCCCGCGCCGCTTCCCATGTAAATCAAGCATTTTAATTCTGGCAAGGCACCGCGTAAATGACAAAACGCATAAATCAAAGCTGCGTAAATCCAGACTCAACTGTATATATAAAAGGAGAAACTGTAATTAGAAAACTTGTGCGTAATAATGTGGAATGCCAATAACAATATTTACCTCAATCTTCTGTACAGGGAAGAAGTTTTGACAGAGAGGGCAAGGTACCATTTCTTCATCACTGTCATCCTTCTTATCAATTGGTAGCCCTGTGTCACTCAACCCCTGACAAAAGGAAAAAATAAAAAATTAATTAGTATTCAGAACAAAATATGAGGAAGCTGTTTGTACATATTGAAAATTTAATTAAAAAACAAGACCACATTTACAACCTATACTGTTACGCCACACAATGTTCCTCGGAGTTCTTGCCACTTCACTATCTTTAAATGTTTTCCAAACTCAGCAACCATTCCCCCCCTCTTCCAAATACTTGAAACACTCATCCCTGCTAATCATCTCCTCACTCACTATGCTTTTATTAACAACCACCTTCAAATTTTATATTATCAACTCTTCCAGATCTCTTTTATAATGTCCAAATTTTTCTAAATTACAAGGTCTTTCCTGTTTTGGTGCAAGGTGGCCAGAATCAAGTGAAATGCAGGCTAGAATGTACAGTTTAGATTTACACATGAATTACCAGTCACACCACAAAAAAGGACGGGGGGCTTACCTTACTTGATGTTCCCACACTGGATGTAATCTGCTCAGCTTCATTATTTGTTGTTGACTGGTTTTCCGAGGACTGAGTTTTACCTGTACAAAAAAAAAAAATGTGTTTGTGAAATACATGTACCTGTATCATTTATATTTAAATATGTTGCTCATCAATAGTACATAATGTGACCACTGAGAAGGTGAGACTTCACCCCTAATGCTAAAATGCTCTAAAAGTGACTGAACAGAGAAAGACAACTGCTCAGTGTTAAGAAAATACTGTATGTAGGAATTAATTACAGAAAAAAATAGTACCAATGAAGTGCTAATGCACAAAGTGAAAGTGGCTCCCAAAGGTCCAACCCATTAAGAAACAATGGGGATATAGCATACTGTAGACAGTAAAGAATTTTTTTTGTACACATTGTGGCCAATAGGCAGTGTGGCCAGTACACCAATCCCCCCATTAAAGTCATTTAAATCAGTGTTGTTGAAAAAAAAAAGTACGAAAATTATAAAAGTATGACAATTTAAAAACAATCAATACGGAGATAATCAGCACCTGATTGTGAAACAGCTGGCTGCGGAAGCGACCAGCGTGGACGCAATATTTGTTTGTTATTATTCGGTGGTTGGTTGATCCTCCTTCAACATTCACTCAAATCCAATTATAAATTTATTTGAGCCCTAGAACAATGAGTGCTAAGCATACATTATGCACCACTACTGGTTGGGGTCACAGAAAGAAGAGGAAAAGTGTTACATTAGAAATTAAATTAGATGTGGTAAAGAGATTTGAAGGACAGTGAGCTGTGGACATAGCAAGAGCTGTTGGTTTGCAGCTTAAACTGTAGGTAAAAACAATTTATGGGAATGCAGAAAATATCAAATCATGTGCTAAAAGTGTTACTCCATTATCTGCTACAAAGTTAACTCGTAACAGAAGTGGCATTATGGAGTACATGGAAAGAATGCTGAACATGTAGACTGAGGATCAACATCAAGAAAACTTTCCATATTCATTGCTCTCCATACAGACAAAATCACTAAATTTATTTGAAACTTTAAAACAAGAAGGTGATAGTGCTGAAAGTAAAAACATTTGTGGCAAATTGTGAGAAAATTTTGACCAGAAATGTACCCAAGGAACATAACCTCTCTTTATATCATTGTGTCTATGGTAAAATGGTTTTCACTTAATGTCGTTTCACTTAAAGTTGTGGTTTTCAGGAACCTAACAAGAACGTTAAGGGGGGAATTAGTCCACTGCTCTCAAACACCTACACTCCCCCCAGCTCTAAAAGTTTGGTACCCAACCATTCACTACTGGGTGAACTAAGGATGTCTTAGGCACAAACCAACAACCCTTAAAACAGAAGCCACTTTTTACCACACCCATATTGATAAAGGAAGGAATTAAAGGCATAATCATGGAAGGTAGGGCAGAGGGAAGCAGGCCACCTCTAGAGCATCTGTAAACACTTATAGAGGCCAAATAACCCCTAGGATAATGTTACTGAGCTTCACCTTACAACCTTTCCACCATGTGACTGCCACTCACACACCTTGACCTATGGTCAATCTGTGACCAGGCCTTCTCCTCAATCCTGTCCCTCTACATTTTGCAATCTCTACTGTACACTGACACAGGCTTGGTTCCTGGTTATCTTGACTGCCCTACCTGGGAGTTACATGCTACTGAGGCATGCATGAATATACTTGATTTAAAGTAAATTAGGTTACCTCATCCAAGATGTGAATGCTTTCTTACCCTGAAAACTACTAATTTTTTGTTTGAACATTCATATATAGGAGAGGGAGAGGATATGTTATACACATTTTTGAGAAACATAAACTTAACCTCACAAATACCACAAGAAGCTCAATTATGTGCAAGTGACCACTCCCAAGACGGGATACACAGTGTGAACTACCAAGTGGGAACCTGTTGTAAATTCCATCCAAAACATCTTCCTCCATGGAGCTGAAATAACCTCTTAAAATCATCAGGTTAGATCCTGAAACTAGTAATAAAATGTATAAGCCGAGTTACATGCTGCAAAGCAAGGGCCACTGCACCAGGTAACAGTGGCCCTACTAACAACTTTCCAGCAAACAAACCACTGAGAAGTTTAGGAAATTTATACACTCTTGAGACAAAATGTACTTTAACACTAGAACAAACAACTAAGACCTCATGGCTCTACAGTAATTAATTCACAACACAAGAGCTCCAATATGGACGTAGAGGCATTGATTACCAAAACGAAAGGTGCGAGCAAGTGTTGTCTGACTAGACCCTCAGGTGACTGGAAACTGAGGTGATAATCTTGTTACATCGTTTTGTAATAAATAAAAGAGGAACACCGAGTGTATATAACTGTGCTAGGCATGGAAGACCTCAGTCGTTTTCATTTGTAACTCCTCCTTCACTAGTGGTGTCTTTCCAGATAAACTGAAAATTGCTAAAGTTCACCCAGCATATAAAAAATCTGGGGACAAAGGTCTCTTCAAGAATTACCGCCCCATATCAGTCCTCCCAGCCTTGAGTAAGATACTGGAGAAGCTAGCATGTAATAGACTAAATTCCTTCTGCAATGCCAATAACATCTTTAAAAACTCCCAGTTTGGACTTAAGAGCTAGAAGGTGGACTTAAGAGCTAGAAGGTCGACTATGAGAGCTCTGCTATCCTTTACTAATGACATCTTAAATTTCTTTGATGACCATCAGTCCACAGTCGGTATACAGTATTCTTGGACCTCTCTAAAGCCTTCGATACTGTCGACCATACCATCCTCCTTTCAAAGTTTGAACATTACAGCGTTAGGGGCCTGTCCCACAATTGGTTTACCTTATATCTGCCCAACAGGATGCAGTATGTCTGCTATAATTATCATCAATCTGACTCCTCGCCAATCTTGTATGGCGTCCCCCAAGGTTCCATTCTCGGTTCAGAACTGTTTTTGTTGTACATAAACGACATACTCCACGCCAGCACACTCATAAAATACAACTTATTTGTAAACGATAGTAATCTCTATGCCAGCAACTCAAACCTCCATTCCTTGATGAGAACTATGAACACTGAATTGACTAAGTCAGGACATGGGTAATACGTAATAAACTGACCCACTACACGATCTTTCACAGAAGGAAAAACTTACCCCCAGACTTGGACCCCCTGTACCTTGGTAATACAGTCCTCAAACGCGAGCAAAATACTAAATTCCTCGGAGTTATTGTTGATGAGAAACTTAACTGGAGAAACCACATACAAGCCATTCACAGTAAAGTCAATAAACAGTGAGGTATCATGTACCACACTTGACAGTCACTCACTCTCACAGCAATGAAAAAATCTATCTATCATGATCTTGTTTACCAACACCTGATACACTGTCACACACTATGGGGGGCCTCTTGCTTTTCAAAAACACAATCCCTGGTTACTGTACAAAAGAGAGTTGTACGGACAATGGCCAACTTGAAAAAAAAAAAAAAAAACATAACGCAAAGGAAAAATTTGCTAAAATAAAAATGTTAAAATTCGAAGATATTAACACCTACTGCTGTGCCCTCTTTCTTTACAAATCTATCAATCACTTGCTTGACAATAATTATTTCCAGTTCCGGAATAATCAGAGATACAACTTAAGGCACTCAGTCCCAGACCTCCATAAAATATCATGATGTGAAGGTGTGGAACAATTTACCCCCACCCATCCAAGCAAAGACTACGCTCCCTTCCTTTAAATCATCTCTTAAAAAATATCTATTGTCTAAGTATTAATATTTCTTGTAATACCTACTATATTTACAGTACCTGCTTTTATTGTACCATCAAAACCGTTTTATCGGAAATTATCATGTAAATAGATAATAAATTACCATTGCACTAAATATATTTGCCAACTAGACATAATCCTGACAGCTCTGTCCTCTTGTTCAACCTTAATACTGTACAACCCATGTTGTACTGCTTCTCAATTATATTTATGTTTTTCAATTCCACTGTAATTTATGTATACAGTATACTTTTAGTAAAAAAAAAAAAAAAAAAATATTGAAGTGATAACCGTGGTAACATTATGAGATGTTCTTATTACCACCATGCTATTGTACTATTCCAGATGTTACTGAATGTTACATAATACTTCCTTGAGATAAATGTATAGTATATATCAGGTGCCTAAAAGAGAGCTCAGGTTCTCAACTGGCTCAGCCATGTTAATATTGTTATTATTATCCACTCTGTATCTGTGGTTTTTCTGGATAAATAAACTGTTTCAATTCAATTCAACCTCCCACATATGCTCTTCATTTTTCTTCTTTAAAACTTTTATATTTCTTTATTTCTAAGCCACATTAGAGTACTGTAATGATTTTTCCACAACTTTTACAGTTTCATTACTTGTAATGAAACTGTAAATGTTCACCTCCACAGCACCTACGTTCACTTCCCACACATACACACCCATGCTTTTCAGTTTTCTTATTTTATAGTTTTATATCACATTTTATTTTTCTCAATTAATTATCTTTATCAGGCACCTCCAGGGATGAGATTGGGTCTTGGAGAGAGAAAAAATAAAATACTGAGCTGGTGGGTCCAGGGAAACACTTACCCGGGAAGTTTTTACTATATTTAACTTAATTTCTCACATTGTAACTCATTTTGTGAGAGCCTAATAATGTACTGTAGTTAAAATACACAGTACCCAAAATCAAACATGTATGTTTATTGCCAAAAAAATTTCATGCATATAGTCTTAATAATTCCTTTCCAAATTTCAGTTGTTACTTAACTTGAATTTGTTTAATATCTTTAATTGTGCACCATTATTGAGAGAAGATAAACTAAAAGGTAAGCTCTTTTTGCACTGTATTGTGAGAGAATTCACAGCAACTGGTCTTTCAATAGCATATGTAGTACTATGTAGCTTCAGCAGCAAAAGGTTGCTGCATAAGCACTCAGCTTCAACAAAAAACATTTGATATACTGTATACAGAGATACTCGAGAGCTTCTATAGCAGCGGTTCCCAACCTCAGGTAGCGACCCAAATCAGGGTCACGGGGTGTCCTCAGTAGAGTCGCGAG